GGGGGGGCATGCGGGGCGTGCGGGGGGGGGGTGTGGGGGGAAGGGGAGGGAGGGTCACACTGGGACATGGGGGGGGAGGGGTGGACAGTCACACTACAACACAGGGGGGCAAATCACTGGGACAAGGTTGGGGCTTGTGGGAAATGTCACACATGGGGGTCAAGGGAGTGAATCTCCCACTTGAACAAAGGGGAAACCTGAATCTCAGATGCTGGGGCACTCTGATCAGTTACCAACACTGGAATGGTTCTTGTTATCGGTTTCTGTCCTTACATTGCCTCCACCTGGAACATGTTTGATCTTTTCCTTGGACCCACACTTTGACTGCACACTGCTGTAATCTTCTTTCTTGTGTACAATTTGTACCTGCAATAATTTGTTTAGAGAAAGGGTTACAAAAATCACACAGAAGAGACTAATCCCTAGGAATCTCTGTGATGTGTGAGCAATTGGTTTGATTTGGGAAGCATGATGTGTGTTTTCCTTTCACACACAGCTCAGGTCACCAACGTTCATTTCGCACCTTCCTAGAGGTTTCATTCCTACGCCGACTGTTCCATCTCCCATCTTTCATACTGTTATACAAAAAGCGTCTATTTTAAAGGGAGTAATTTTATGGTTTATAGAGTCCACTATGAGTTTTCTGCCAGCTTTTAGTCAATAGGAGGCTATCTCATTGAATGTTTTTAAGCCAAACATAGGTAGATTTTTGAACAGTAAAGGAATTAAGCATTATGGTGAGTGGGCAGGTAAATGGAGCCGAGTCCACGAAAAGATCAGCCATTTCTTACTGAATGGTGGAGCAGGCTCAATGGACCAGATGGCCTTCTCCTGCTCCTACTTCTTATGTTCTTATGTTCCATGAGGCTGATTCCTGTAGACTCCAGGGCATCCTGGAAAGTTGGTGACCCTACAGCCATCCATGCCCTGTGTCTGATCTGTGGTACAGGCTTCATGCACTGTCAAATATTATGCCTGGAAATAGCCTTGTGTGATTACTTGATGGGCTGTGCACAGATTGTCTGCCTTGAACAGGCACAAAATCTGGTGATTGAGACATTCTGGTTCAACCTGTCTCATAGTGGGAGGTGACGGCCTAGTGGTATTATTGCTGGACTGTTAATCCAGATAATGTTCTGGGGGTCCTGGTTTGAATCTCGCCACAGCAGATGGTGGAATTTGAATTCAATAAAAAAAATCTGGAATTAAGAGTCTAATGATGACTATGAACCCATTGTTGATTGCTGAAAATATCCATCTGGTTCATTAATGTCCTTTAGGGAAGATAACTGCCATCCTTGTCTGGTCTGGCCTACATGTGACTCCAGACCCACAGCAATGTGGTTGACTCTTAACTGCCCAAGTAGGGATGGGCAATAAATGCTGGCCTAGCCAGCGACACCTTCATCCCGGGAATAATAAAGAGTTAAAAATAATATTCAAAATGGCACACCAGTGAAACTAGTATGTTCATTTCCAAGTAAGATTGTTTTTTCCTGGATATCCCTCTGGCAATCCCACTCTGTCCTGTTGCCCTCTGTCCCTTCCTCTAACCACAGCCTAATATCTGAGCCCCAGCTCACCATTGCAGATCCCCTAGCCCTCCCTGACCAGATATTGCCAGCAGTAAAAACCAGCGAAACACTGACTGAATGTACTAGATCATAGATTCTCTAACATATAGATGAACTTTAAGTGTCTCATTCAAATCTCTCATTGATATTCCTACTCAATTCACCCCAATAAATCATAGAAAGTTATTTTGCAGCTCCAGCAAGTGATTAGGAGGTCAAATGGAATGTTGTTTATTGCAGTGGCATTGGGATATATAAGGGAAGGTTTACTGCAGCTGTACAGGGTTTTGGTGAGGCCACACCTAGAATGCAGGTTGGATGTCCCAATTTACAATTTGGGAGAAGGTTCACTTGACTCATTACAGGGACAAAGGGCTTGTGTTATGAAGAGAGGCTGAACAAGTTGGGGCTATTGGAGTTTAGAGCAGTGAGAGGTGATCTTATTGAAACATACAGGATCTTGAGGGGATTTAACAGGAAGTATGAAATGAGAATGTTCTTTTCTGGGAGCAGGGGATGAATTTGAATGAGGGGATACACTAAAAATATGGGGTTTCCCTTTTAAGATGGAGATGAAGAGGTTATTTTTCTGCCAGAGGGTTCTCAGAATTGTCTTTCCCAGAGAACAGTGGAGGCTGAGTCTTCTAATTTATTTAAGACTGAGTTTGATGGGTTTTTGATAGACAACAGAGCTGAGGATGCTGGGGTTCAGACAGGAGTAGAGACCACAGCCATGATTTTATTGACTGTTGAAGCAGATTCATGGGATGGTATGGTCCATTCCTGCACCTCAGTGCAATGTTACTCTGTTCAGTCTTCTCTGTCTCTGGATAGACAACGCCATTCAACTGAAACATTCCTGGTGTCTTAGCCACTTGTTATCATTTTGGAATATTGTACCTTCTCAAATGCCTTGATGTGAGAACATAGGAACCAGGAGCAGTGTCAGGCAATTAACATCCTTGAGCCAGCTCCACCATTCAATACGATCATGGCTGATCTCATCTTGGCTTCAACTCCTGCCCCCAACCCTTCAACACCTTGCTAATTAGGAATCTGTCTATCTGCTCCTTAAATTTACTCAATGTCCCAGCATCTACCACACTCTGGGGCAGTGAATTCCATAAAATCATGACCCCTTGAAAGAAGCAACTTCTCCTCATCTCTATATTAAATCTGTTACCCCCCTCAGCCTAAAACTATGACCTCTTGCTCTAGATTTTCCCACAAGGGGAAACATCCAATCCAATCATCTTCCTTATCCTTACTATAATCTGGAAAGCAGAGTTTTGCATGGTCCTCCAAGTGTGATGCAAGACTGACTTTGTATAACTTAAACAGAACTTTACTGCTTTGTAATACTATTCGTTAAAGAATGACTCATGACTCATAAAGAATGTTTTATCTGTCTCAAATTGCTGATAGTATTGATGAGTTTCTCTCTGTGTCCCGTCCATGGAACAGCTGCAGGGATTGGGCTAGAGGCAGTACAAATGGGGAGTTACCTTGCCCCCGCCAGGGGAGTGCTTAATGTTGTCTGTTGATCCAATTTTGGATTTGACATTCTTCAGATCAGGCATGGGCACAGCAACAGGGGCTGTCCGTGTTTTGGAAGCTGCTGGGGATTTAGGAGGCGTACGAACAATCGCCACTTTCTTCACTTCTTTGGTCGCTCCTGTAGGTGGCTGGGAAGGTGTACGAGAGCGACTGCTGGGAGTGCCAGGAGTACCAGGACTACTGCACCCACTGCCACTGCCACCTGCTTTGGCTGCTGAATCACCTGAGAACAAGATGAAAGACATACATCGGACCAAATCCCATCGTTTTCAGGTGAGTTCTCCAAAACATCAAGAGATATTGAAGCAAAATCTGCAGCACACCCCACGCTGACTCTAACTGGGGTACGGGTCGCACACACACTGACTCTCACCGGGGTACGGGTCGCACACACACACTGACTCTCACCGGGGTACGGGTCCCACACACACACTGACTCTCACCGGGGCACGGGTCCCACACACACACTGACTCTCACCGGGGTTACAGTCCACACACACTGACTCTCACCGGGGTACAGGGTCCCACACGCACTGACTCTCACCGGGGTTACAGGTCCCACACGCACTGACTCTCACTGGGGTTACAGTCCCACACACACTGACCTTTACTGACAGGAGAACACATTCTGGTCACAAACACTTCCAAAAACATGGTAGTTATCCTGGAATATTTATCGAGTAAGTTAAAATATTCTTCAGTACTGGAGCCTTTAAGAAGGTGCTGATATTGAAAATAGCTGCATTAAACTGCATGAAGGAGGCAACACACACTTGAGCCCCACTCACCTTTTCCTGATTTCTTCTGCTCCACCTTTGCTGTTCAGGAAAAGAAATCAAACTGTTAGAGAAAGGGATCTACAGAATTAGACCAGGGAACAGATTGAGGGAGAGAGACTGAGGGGGAGAGACCGAGGGGGAGAGAACTAAGAGGGCGAGACTAATAGGCCAAGACTGAGTGGGAAACTGAGGTGGGAGAGACTGAAAGAGCAAGACTGAGTGGGAGAGACTGGGGTGGCAGGGCATAGAGGGGGCAGAGAGAAAAGAAGAGAGATTGAGAAAGAGAGACTGAGGGGGAAAATCTGAGGGGAAGAGACTGAGAGGGGAGAGCGAGAAAGTGAGAGACTGAGGGATAGGAACAAAGACTGAGGGGAGAGACTGAGGTGGGGGAGAAAGAAAAGTAGAGACTGATGGAGACAGAGAGGGAAAGACTGAAAGGAGGAGATTTTGAGGCAAGACTGAAGGGAAGAGAGAGGAGACAATTAAGGGAGGAGAGAGCACGGGAGAGACTCAGTGGGGAGCAGACTAAGCCGGGGTGGTGACTGAGGAGGAGACTGAAGAAGGAGAGAGAGATGGTGGGGGTGGGGGTGGGGGTGGAGGGGAAAGACAGTGAAATACCAAGGAGCTGAGAGAGTGAGAGACTGAGAAGGGCAGACTGGAAGTGGGGGGAGACTGAGTGGGTCAAAATTCTAGTTTCAAAATGGTAACTTTGGCAATAAAAGACACTGAAAGGCTTCCAACCGTGCCTGACCCATTTCCCATATTTCTGCCTTCACATTTCCCCTCCTTCCCAGAAACTCAATAAGGTTCCCCTCGTCCTCACATGCCGCCTCAGAAACCTTTATACTTAATGGTCAATCTCTGCCATTTCTGTCAGCTGCAGAACAATACTCCCAGGAAATACATCTCCTCTTCCCAGCAGCATTCTGAAGGGACTCTTTCCTCCATGGTCCACTCCTCTCTCATCCCCAACACCACATGCCCCTCCAATGGCCCTTTAAATCACAGTAGGCAGAGCACTTGCCCTCAATGTCTAAGGCCCTAAACACTCCTTCCAAATCAAGCAGTGATTTACCTTTTCAATCTAATCAATTGTATTTGTTCCTCGCAAGATGGTCTCCTTTTCATTGAGAAAACCAAATGCAGATTGGGTAACTGCCTTGTGAGAAACCTGCACACAGTTCTCAAGCTTGACCTCAAATTTCTGGTCATTTGCGATTTCAGTATATCATAGTGCTCTTGAGCTCAGACTTCTGTCCAAGGCCTGCTGCAGTATTCCAGTGAAGCCCAGTGCAAGTTAGAGGGTCAGCACCTCTTTTTTTTGCTTGGGTATGTTACAGCCTTCAGGACTCTATATTGAGTTCAACAACTTCAGACCATGAATTTTGTCCTCCATTTTAATATTGTTGTCTTTACCTTTTTTTCATGCTTTTGCTTTCAGAGCTGAACTTTATTCTTCTATTAACACCAGCTCTCAATCTATGTTTTGAATCTTCTCTACAACCATTACCATTTTCTTTGCCTCTTGTCTGATGAAACTTTTAATCTTGAATGACTCTTACCCTTCAAACCTTCCACAGACCTTCCCTTACGTTCTATCTGCTCCTCCTGCTTTTTCTACAGTATAAATCCATTATCTCTCTCTTCAGATCTGAGCAAAAGTCATATTGGACATGAAACATTAAATCTGTTTCTCTCTCTCTCTCCTGTTGAGACCAGCAGTATTTTTTTTATTTTTCTCATTTTTTGTTTGTAACTGTACAACACAGTTGAAAACTGAACTCTGAATAGCAGCTTATTTGAAAAGTAAAGAGAGAACAAACAATCTTTACTGTTACAAACTGGCCTGGAAGGATTAAATACTGCTCTAAATGCACTCAAGATGAACCAGCAGGATGTTATGCTCAGTAACTGGCAGCTGGTTGGATGTTGAATTGACCAATCAAGAGAGGACTTGCCAATCACAGGGGATATTGAAAATGAGAAACAAATAGGTGACAAATGACAACACCTTCCAGTTGCGAACCATTTCAACTCCTCCTCCCACTCCCTGGGTGACATGTCCGTCCTGGGCCTCCTCCAGTGTCACAACGACACCACACGCAAACTGGAGGAGCAGCACTTCATATTCTGCCTTGGGAGCCTACAGCCCAATGGCCTAAACATGGAATTCACCAGTTTTAAAATCTCCCCACCCCCAGCCTCATCCCATGACCAACCCTCCCTCTCATCCACACCTCTTTGGCCTTACACAACCTGCTTATGTTCTCTCCCACCTAGCCACCCCTCCCACTGCACTGACTAATCCCCACCACTCCCTGTCTGCACTCCCCTATCACCATCCCACCTACCTTCCCCAGCCCCACCCCTCCTCTCTATATATTTCCCAGCTCCCTTCCTCCTCCCCATTTCTGAAGAAGGGTCCCAACCTGAAATGTCAATTTTTCCTGCTCCTCCAGCTCCACACTGTTATCTCTGACTCCAGCATCAGCAGTTCTTGCTATCTCTGAATGAATAGGTGAACTGGCTTTTACTGGGATTTTGGGCAGGATACAGTGTGTTGCTTTGGAAGCTGCAGGACTGGGTTCTTGGTTTTGCTCTGTCTAGTTATTTCTCAGTTATTGGACTTGTTGAGAGTTCTGAGAAAAGAACCCAGTCTAGAGAAATCAGCAAATGTCTGTGGAGGTTTGCAGAAGCTGCTTGTATTGACTGGTGACTTTAGAATTTGATCCAATCCTAAGTGCCAGTAATACAACTTGTTGGATTTCATGAATTCATGGTATTCATCATTTGAAATGGCTATCAAATTGGCAACTTGTGATTCTTTTACTTATAAAAAAAAATTATCCCTTAACTGTGTCTGACTATTGGTGTGTAACTGGGTGCTTATAATTAAACAAGATTAGGCTTAGATTGCAGATATTAATTAGATTCCCTTTTAGTTCCTTTGTGTTCTGTTAAAATTACATTATTAATAATAAATTATTAATTTTGGTTTAAGTTAGAAACTTGGCATCAAAGATGAATTATTTGTAAAATTTAGTTAGGAGCAATTGAGTAATTTTGAGGGTCATTGAATGTTTTAATTTTACTATGTTGTGAATCCAGTGTTAGCCAGTCTGATTTGTTCTGGTTTGTGCCATAACACTTCACAGATGGTGCCAGAACCTTCTGAATTTCTCCAGTTCTTTCTGATTTCATTGCAGATCTGCAGCATCTACAGTATTCTTCTATGAAAACACATCAGCTTTGCCAATTCCTGGTGTGTGTTCACCCATTCCTCTTTCACCCAGTTTCCCACACTTACCTGTTGTCCTTTTTATATCGGGAGAATGAGGTGTTCCCTTCATGGCAGCTGCAGGCTTCGGGGGGCTCTTTGCACCAACACTTCCTGGCATTCTGAGACCAGATGGTGGTTGTGATCCTGGAGTCTTCCTTGTCTCTGTTACCTGCAGTGAATTATTAGGCTGTTAGACCGAATGGTAAATACTCAACTCTGACATTATCTGGCTGTTTAGACAGAATCCATTCATTACAGTCCGCTTCCGGGAATAAATATTCTTGCTTTCACAATGGCAGAGGCCATGTTTCTTGATGGCTCTGTCTGCCTGGGAATTCAGGAGAGGTGGTAGAAACAGATATGATAGTAATATTTAATAAGCACTTAGACAGACACATTAAACAGGTAGGGAATAGAGGGACAAAGACCGTGTGCAGGCAGATGGGATTAGTTTCGAATGGCATTGTGGTCGGCACGTACATGGTGGGCTGAAGGGCCTTTTGCTGTGCTGTACTGTTCTATGTTCTAAGTTAGATGGGCTGACTGGCCTTATAGCTTATCACACCAGGGTCAATGTTTTTTATGATGCCAGTTAATTCTATCTGCTGCTCACAAATGACTCAACAGTGAGCAGGAGACCATACGGGAATGGCAATGGATGATTATTTGGATAGAAATAGCTGATATGGAGAATCCTACAGGACATAGCACGGACCTCAGTCACCGCACTGAGGTAGCAGGTTCATGGAGGCTACGCTAATGGAGAGTGGGCTTGTGACATTCTGCTGGAGGTCTGGTACAGCGATCTTGACAGAAAATGAGGGACCTGACTCCTAGGAAGTGAGAGATGGGGCGGGGAGGCAGCAGGCAGCATGGGAAGGGGTTACTGTGGTGAGGGTGTGGGTAAAGGGATGGTATTCATGGGGGATGAGAGGGGGTTTGCTGAGGAGGTGATGAGGGATTTTATGGGGCTGTGGGGGGGGGTGTTTGAAAAGGGGCAGGGGGTTTTGCAAGGGGCTGAGGGGGTTGATGGATGTTTGAGGGGTTTGAAAGGATGTGACCCCTTTTGATTTGGGTAGGGAAAGCTTCGTGGAGAATGAAAGGGGTTATGATAGGTAATGAAATGTAGAGGTGTAATGAACACGGAATGGGGTATTGAGGGATTGGACGGGTCTGGGGAAATGGTGGGTTCTGGAGGTACATGGGCGTTTACTGGGGGATTGGGGTTGGTAATGGGTTAGGGTTGATGGGGTTTGATCAATGTGAAACAGGGTATGGGTGGAGGGTTGGGTGGTGGTTTAACGAGGGTGGGAGGGTAGTTTTGATGGGCAGGCGTTGCAGTGATAGCAGGTGAAGGAAGTTGGAGATAGGGTTTGAAGGATGATAGGGGGCTATTTGATGATCAGGGAAATGAGGGGATGGAATGGTGATGGGCTCTGATAGGAAGATGTCGGTATGTGATGGGAGGGTGGGTTAATGAGATATTGTGGACAATGATGGGTTGGAGACTGGATGGGCACAGGAAAACAAGGGGTCAGGAATGATGAGAATTTGGTGTTGTGGGAGTTGATGCATTGCAGATGAGTTTGATGGTGTGATAGTGGATATGTCTCCAAGCAGACAGAACTGGAGACAGGAAACCTAGAAGACTGAAACAAGGAAAGCATTAAAGAAATCCCCTGAACAGAATGGTGCATCACTGAGTGAAAAGCTGATTTGAAAAATAGAAGCAAAACACATTTACCTGAACCAGAGCAAAAAAGCACAAATGAATTGACCAGATTATCAGGGATGGGTAATAAATGCTGGCCTAGGCAGCAACACCAACATCCCATGAATGAACAAAAATAAAAATGAATTGATTAAGTTGGGCTGCTGACATTTGCATTTGGATTGTCAAAAACTGCAGCTGAGAGAACTCCTCTAACTATAGTGTAATCCTTACCTTAATTGCTCTATGCTCTTTAATTCCTGTACCATCTTGGCTTGTAGTGGATTGAGGTCTTTTGGGGATGGAGACAAGACTGGAAGATTTGTTGCTACGGGCAGCTGTAGTAGGCCTTTTAGGAGTAGCAGAGGCCTGAGGCCTAGCTTTTGAGGTTTTTGCAGATGTAGGTGTGGAGCTCTTTACATGAAAATAAATTCAAAATGACAACACAACATATGAATCCACAAACCAAATAAAATTATGGATAAAATGAATATAGCAAAACAAGATGAAATATTTGGACACCAATGGATTAATGGAGTGGTCTGGATGCTGAACAGTTTGTTTATTACTGTCACTCTCACCTTGGTCTTGTTCTCGGGGCAGGGTGCCTGAGATTTGCTTCCTTCTTCTCCTGCAACAGGCAATTGAGCTTAAAAAAAAGGAAACAGAGCAAAATGGGTTCTCTCCAATTTTAAATGGGCCATTAAGAAGATGTTGTTGAAGGTGGGTGCTGTGAGGAAGAGGCAGAAAGCAGCAGGGACCCACATTAAGGAAACCTTGTACATAGGCCCCACAGACTGAGTCTGGTCCCACTGACTCCAACAACCCATAACCCTGGCTGAGACTGCCAGGAAACAGAAACTCAATTAGATTGGAAAGTGTAACACAGCATTTATTACAATGGATACTTCACAAATTATTCAACCTGACGATTTCAAGATTTCACCTTGCCACAAAATGCAACAACAAATTACCTGAAGAATTTGAATTTATTGAGGTGAATGCATTAGCTTCCCTGTTTGCACATGATGACCCTCAAAGTTAGTTTCTAATCCCTCAAATGGGTCAAATGGAGGTCAAACTCAACTGAGATGGAGAATGGGAGAAATGTGAGGAAATAACCTTTTGCACATTCATGATTTCACGATAGAGATATTTTTAACTGGGCAGAGTCCCAGCAGTATATTGTATTGGCTTCTTTGAATATTTCATTTAGCTGTAAGCTACAGCTCTTGTGTATCTTCCCAAATTCTCTCAATTTATGAGCTATTCCTTTAGATAGGAAATGCCACTCCATTTTTTAAGCATCAGAGAGACGGAAACCTACATTGTAAACCAATAGCTTAACGTGTGTACGTCAAGAAATTATGTGAGTCTCAACAAGGATAGGGTGACTGAGCACGTTTGAAAGTTTGCAGTCATTGAGATTATAGATTTGTAAAGATGATTATGCTTGACACTTGGATCTTCTGTTGCTGGTAAGATTAGGGTGGGAAGGACAGCAATGGGTTTGTTACCCGCCTATCTCTCTGTTTTGAAAACACATCCATTGGGGGCAGATGAAACATAGTTTGTGGTCTGTGCGTGCGCACAGTGTTGATTTACCAGGACTGCACGAGTTAAATTATGAGGCTTTTTAATTCCTGCAGGTTAGAAGGTCATCGGGTGATTTGATGAAAGCTTTCAATATATAATGAGAAACAGGCTGGGTAGATAGAGAGAAACTATTCCAGCTGTTTGGGAAGTTGAGGGCTTAGGATTGAAAAGTTAAGGTAGGCCATATGTATATGTCGCACTGTTTATATTGGAATTTCTGTGCATGTTGGAGCACTGTGTATTGTAGATACCATATATCCTGTAGCCTAAGTGTAATTTGTATTTGCTATGTATATGGCAGTCTCTGGGTACATTTGTGGCCTTATGATAATTGTAGCCCTGTGAATATTGCTGCATTGCATATATTTTGGACCCATTTGAATTTTTGCCACTCCTGTGTCTTGTAGTATTGTGCATATTTGTAGCCCAGGAGTACATAGGAGTGCTGTGTATATTTATCCCTGTGTATCTCTGTTTATACTGTAGTCCTTGTCTATATTATAGCCCTAGCATATTTTGTTGCCCCTGTGTATATTGTAACTCGTATCCTTGTAGCACCGCGTATATTGTAGCCCTTGTGTATATTGTATCATCTTTATGTTAAACACAGGGGCTAGACTATGCAAAGTAGCTAAATTTGTTGTCCCTGTGTCTATTGTAAATGCTGTTTTTATTGTAGCCTCTGTATAGCCCCTGTCTATATTTTCATGTGTATTTTGTAACCCTTATGTATGTTATACCCATATAATTTTGTTTTTGCCTTTGTCTGCATTTGTAGTATGGTGTAGTACTGTCTATGTTGAATCCACGTGTATACTATAGGCCCTATGTAAATTTGCAGCCTATTTCTATATTCTAGCCCCTGTGTATATTAAAGTGCTGTGTATATTGTGGCTACTGTGTATCTTTTGGATCCTATGTACATTTATGGGCCCTTTTTATATATTTGTAGCGCTTATCTATATTACATGGCCCCTGTGTGTGCTGTAGCACTGTGTATATTGTAGACCCTGTTGAGACTTGAGACCAATTTATATTTGCATCTCTCTGTAATTGTGGCACCTCTGTATGTTGTAGCACTGTTATATTTGTGAATGCTGAGTAAATAGCAACTACTGTGAATCTTGTAGTCACTTATGCACCTTGTAGCTCCTGTGTACAGTGTAGCCCCACTTAAATCTGCAGTCCCGGTGTACAGTATAGCCTCAGTGTATACTGTGACACTGTGTCCATTGTAGATACAGTGATTATTGCATCACTGTGTGTACTGTAGCCCATGTTGTACGTAGCATGTATAGTAACTCCCTATTGGGGTGTAGTGGTAAGGGCAAAGTCTCTAATCCAGAATTCCAGGCTAATGTTCTGGAGGCATGTGTTCAAATCCCACCATGGCACTTGGTAAAGTCTCAATTTAATAAAGATTCCTAGAATTAAAATTTAGCAACCATTGTTACATTGTTTAAAATAAATTAGTTCATCAATATCCTTTAGGAAAACAGAATCTGCTGTCCTTACCTGGTCTGTCTACATGTGACTCCATACCAATAGCAATGTGGCCTAGTAAGACACTGAATTCAACAGCAATTAGGAATGGGCAATGAATGTTTTAAAAATGTGTATACTGTAGTTGTATTTTTGCTCCTGTGTATATTGTAGCACCTAGAATCTGCAATATATATGTTTATAGTAGCTCCTAGGTACAATGTAGCCACTGAATATGTTGTACTCTATGTACAGAGTGTACACATGTGTGTTATAGCACTGTGTATATTTTAGCTCTTTTGTATATCATAGCTCCTGTGTAGGTTGTAGTCACTGTATAATTCAGCCTCTCCTACGTATACAAGGGAATGGTGTACATTGTAGCTGCTGTGTGTATATATGGTTCCTGTGTGTACTGTATCCACTCTGTATATTTGTAGTCACTGTATATATTGTGTCTCTTATGTATATTTGTAGTTCCTCTGTAACCCCTGTGTACATCTTTAGCCCCTGTGCATATATGTAGTCCCCATGTATATTGTAAATCTGAGTATATGTGTATCTCTGTGCACTTTGTAACCCTGTGTATAATGTAACCCCTGTCTATGTTGTAGCTGCGGTGTATATTGTCGCCCCTGTGCATAGTATAGCCCTCTAAACATTATAGCCTCTATATTTGTAAATCCTGTACATATTATAATATACTGGTCCCCAATTTACGAATGTCTGATTTACAAAGGCTCATATTAATGAATTCAATCCCACAAAGGAGTGTAATTTTAAGAATCTGACATGCAAACATTTCCTGTACTTACAAATATTGCCTGCATTGTGTTTCGACTTGTGTACAAATAGACTTATGAACAGACTCAAGAATTGAACCTATCCACAATATGGGGATAGCCTGTATTTATATTGTAGGTCCTGATTATATCATACTTGGTTTGTATATTGTAGATGTTGCAAGTATTTTTGGTCCCTGAGTATATTGTTGCACTGTGTCCTTCGTATTCTCGGTGTATATTTATAGACTTCATGTATATTGCAACCCCAATGCATATTCAGCAGTGTATACTGTAGCTTTACTGTTTATTAGAATGCTGTATTGCAGCATCATGTATGTTATAGCCCCTTTGCATGTTGTTGTCCATGTATATTTGTAGTCTTTGTGTAAATTGTAGCCCTGTGTTCATTGCAACCCGTCTCTATTACATCTGTGGGCTATATTGTCACCCATGAGCATTGTGTGGCCCTGTATACACTGTAGCCTCTATATTCGTAAATCCTATGTATTCTAGTAGGCCCTGTGGATATTGTAGCTGCTCTGCATATTTTAGCTGCTGCATATCTTTGTAGTGTCTATGTTGTAAACCCTGTGTCTACTTTTTATATTGACAGGTACAGCCTCTGAAGGAAAGAAATGTGTACGAAAAATGAGTGACGATTTTGCAAAGGGAACATTCCTCACTGTAACAAAGGATTAACACCTAGTGTAAGATGATCAGGACAGTAGAAATGAAACCTGACTGATTGGCAGTTACGTAGAGTTTGTAGGAATAAGGCGAGTTGAGCAGGTTTACTGGGATCCATAGAAAGTGCAGTAGTTTGTGGAGAAAGGGTGAATTTGTTTTGGACAGGTCGCTAGAACAATCTCTGGCACCTCTCTTCTGAGAGTTAGGGCAAATGTTAATATAGTAATCATATTAGCAGTTGGCATTTAATACAGGCCATGCCCAATCAATCAGTCAATCACTGTGGCAGGGTGATAGGGTCCTGCACTGCCATATTCTACGGGCTGCAGTATGTGACTGGGGTTGTTTCGAGTGTGCTGCTCTACAGCTTAAGCCAGATGCCAATCAATTTAAAAGATCAGTCATTTTATGCCTCTTTGTGGAGACGTTTGTTACTCAGGCAAGATTTCAACCAGTCCTTATCAGTAAACAGCAGAACTCGAGCCTCTGCCCCATCCCATCTTTGACCATAATCTCCTCTTGATAAGGTGCCCATCATTCCCAGTCCTTCCCTCATCCTGCTGCATCTTCTATCCCCTCCAACCTGACCCTGATCCCTACACAATCCCTCCATGGAGAAAGGGAGAGATGCGATTTTATTTCTGTGAAACCAGCTGATACTGAAAGCTGGTCAATCACAGTATCTCACAGGCTCTGTCCTTTTGTATCTCAGACCCTCTGGTTCAGTGAAATCCAGAATCATTGAGAATTAATTCTCTTAATATGGCAGGGACCCTTTTTGAAGCCCTGCCTCTTGGAACTGGCACTGGCACCCATGCACCCAAACTCTCTGTTTCTGCTCTTTCTGATGCCAGACTTGGATTGCTCTAGCCATCTATGCAGGGAATAACAGTTCTTTCCCAAGCTTGTGGATGTAAAATGCTGCATCACAATATAACCTGAAATACAAGATGTCTTTCTAGACTTTGCTTTGAGAAAGAAGCAAAGATGAAACAGGTGAAGGGTACAGGATATGAAAGTCACACATGCAGTAAGACATCATGCAGCAGCGAGGCCAGTTGTTGCCGGAGTCAGAGTGCAAGGCTGCAGCTCAGAGCTGGGCAGCTCTAGACAGCTGGAAGAAGAAGCAAGAGGCACGTGTTGAGAGAGTGGGGAGAAAAAAAAAGTGTGCTGAGAGAACAGAAAGCAAGTGACAAACCTTTCGCTGCTGCCACAGGCAGATCTTCTTCAGTCTTACTCCTCTGAGATGCCAGGGTTTGTGGTTGGACAGGCCCCATATCTCCTTCCTGAATGGCTGGAGGTGGCTGTTGATCTTCAATCTCTTCCATCTGATTCACTGCTTTAAAATGATCACCTGTAAGCTGGATATCCTCCCCCAGCTCTCTGAATTTGGCATCACTCAGACCCTCCACACATTCACTGTCTTCAGTTCGCTTCGCATCTGCAGTCTCAAACTCAGCTTCATGAACTCTTCCATTGGTCAAGGTCATGTCAGCTGATTCTCCTGCACCATCTTTAGTCACCAGGCTCAGAGCTCCAATAGCCTCAGGAGAGAGCTCTCCCATATCCTTCTCCATACTCTTAGGCAGCTCCTGTTCTCTGGACTGTTCTGAAGTTGTTGGAACAGTGTGACCAGTATCTGGAGGGCTTGTTTCCTCACAAATTTGCCTCTCTTCTAATCCAAAGCTTACTGCTTCCAATCCAGACTTATCTTGAGTAATGTCTGGTATCTGTGAATTGTCCGAAATGAGCAATGCCTCTTCTGTGACTGATGGGGTCATGGTCACTGCCTCCTCAGTCCACATCGTGCTCAGGGGTACAAGCGGTTCCTGAAGAATTAGACTGGTTTGCTCACTCGGGCCTATCTCGGTTCCAATCCTCTCAATAATGCTCTGTTGCCTGTAACTCTGCTGAACTCCAACAAAGGCCACAATTTGCTCCTCTCCTTCTGTCATTAGAGAAGTAAGGCCGCAATTTAGCGTAAAAACACATCTGTTGAAATTCTGATACATGGGAGGCAAAGTAGCAACATGGTAATCCCAGCAGAACAGAATGGCCGTAAAGACTTCACATGTTGCCAACTTCTGCTGAGAAACAAAGCTGCTGAATTAATGAAGTACAGCCTCCTCCCAAAATTAAAAATAAACAGCTGTGCGGAGAGCTGCCTCTTTGTCACTCCATCCAGCTCCTTCCATTCTCTTCCCAGCTGTACATTCTCTTCCTGGCAGCAGCTCTGGGAAACAATTGCACTGTCCCAGAAAGAAGAAGGGAAACTGATGGATACTCCCTACGGGTTCCTCATTTTCCACCTCGAGGCTAGGCCAAGGGCAGGAGGCTGCTGCCAGGGCCCTTACCCATCAGCCTTTGTCATCAAATGACAGTGGGGTCAAGGGTCCATAATAGAATGGAGTCAATGGATAAACAAAGAAACACACAAAATGAACACTTTGAGTCATGACAAAAACAATACATTCAGTGATTTTAGACCTTGGCAAACAAGCCTTGCAAAAATCCCAGCCCAGACACCACTCAATAACCTTTCCCCTAACACCCTTCGTGCACCCCCTTCCCAGATACATTGCAATCGGGCACCCAGACACCCTCACTTCAGACATCCATCCAGACACTCCTACTGAAATCCAACCAGTTATCCCTACCATAACACTCAACACTCTTCCCTGCAACAGTTGTCCAGCCCAGAACACCTATCCCAAGACATCCTCCTCTCACAGGCCTGCTAATTACCTCCCACATTACCTTTTGCCTCATCACTTCCCTCCACCTCTCTTTTTCTCCACCTCCCCTGCAAACATCCATCCCTCAGGAACGCTGTCCTCAGGCATCCTCCTGCACATTCTTCCATCTCTCAAACATCCAGTCTGACACCCTCTCCCCAGAAACTCCGCCCGTCAATCTCCCCTTCCCTAGGCACCATTCCCCCAACACACCCTCCTCTGAACCTCTCTGCCTGAAACCCATCAACCTGACACTGTTCCCCTCAACACGGGTCTCGCATGAAAATGATGATATAATCTGAAGATCTGAAAAGTAGCAGACAGAACATCAGTTGAGGAACATGACAGTGTGAATATAGGAGTACAAGGAAGCCATTCAACCCTTTTTCAGTCTGTTCCCCCATTCTAGATCATGGCTGATCATTTACCTCAATGCCATATTCCTATGCTATCCCCATTATGCTTTGATGTCATTTTGAGGGGAGATGCTGGTGTAGTGGTAATGTCAATGGCCAGTAATCCAGAGACTCTACCTGATACTCTGGCAACATGGCATCAAATCCCACCACAGCAAATGGTAGAATTAGAATTCAATGAATAAATAAGGAATTCTAAAAGCTGGTCTCAAGTGATGGTGATGATGAAACTACCATCAATCCTTGTAACAACACATCTGGTTCACTAAAGTCCTTTTTGAGACTTGCCTTGCCTTCTGGAGAGTTCTAAAGATTCACCTTCATGTGAGAAGAATTTCCTCCTCGTATCACATTAGTTTGCCTTTTATTCTGAGACTGAGTGTCTCCTGGTTCTAGATCCTAAAGCAAGGTGAAACATCTCTTCTGCACCTACTCTGTTTATCCTCATCAGAATTTTGTAAGTTTCCTAGGAGATCACCTCTCAATCTTCTAAACTCCTGAGAATACAGGTCCAGTCTCCTCAATCTCTCCTCACAGGACAATCCCACCATCCTAGGAGTCAGTCTTGTGAACTTTCACTGCATTCCCTGTGTAGTAAGTCTATCCTTCCTTCAGACAAGAGGACCACATCTATACACAATACTCCAGGCATGGCCTCACCAGTGTTCTATAAAATTTACACAAGGCTTCTTTGCTCCTGTACTCAAATTCTTTTGTGATAGAGACTAACATGTAGTTTCCCTTCCAAATTGCTGGCTTCATCTGCCAGCTTTCAGTGACTTATGCATCATGACATCTAGATTACTCTGGATATTGTCAGAAGTCACACAACAAGGGGCGGCACAGTGGCTCAGTGGTTAGCACTGCTGCCTTGCAGCACCAGGGACCTGGGTTTGATTCGACCCTTGGGCGACTGTCTGTGTGGAGTTTGCACATTCTCCCCATGTCTGCGTGTTTCCTCCAGGTGCTCCGGTTTCCTCCCACAGTCCAAAGATGTGCAGGCTAGGTGGATTGGTCATACTAAATTGCCCATAGTGTTCAGGGATGTGTAGATAAGGTGAGTTATAGGGAGGGGTCTGGGTGGGATGCTCTGAGGGTCTGTGTGGACTTATTGGGCCAAAGGGCCTGTTTCCACACTGTAGGGATTCTATGATTCTATGATATGACCCCAAGTTTGGACATCAACATTGATACTTCCCAATCTCTCACCATTTAAGAAATACTCTGCTCCTTCATTCTTCCTACTGAAGTGGATAACCTGTCACTTAATACACATTATGTTGCATCTGCCATGCTTTTGCCTAATCATTCAGACTCTCTAAATCCTCTTGATGCCTCTTTACATCATCCTTACAACTCATACCTTCCCACCTAGTTTTGTACCATCAGTAAATGTGGAATTGGTCCCCACATCCAAATCATTGCTATAGATTGTGAACAGCTGGGGCCAAGCACTGATCCTTGCAATCTCCCACTGGCACTGGTTACCAACCTGGGAATGACACCTTTTATTCGAATTTTTGCTTTCTGCCTGTTAACCAACCCCCTCAGTTCATGCTTTATCAGAAACCTCTGTAAATCCAAATCCTCCACATCCACTGGTTGCCCATTATCAACTCTCTAAGTTAGAAAATAATTATCTGATTGACTCTGACTCTGTCCAATGTGGATTTATGAAGGGGAAATCATGTTTGACAAACCTAAGAATTTTTGAGGATGACTATACAAGTAACATCCTCAAAAACTATCCCCAAAACAACTGAGCAGGTCTGTCAAACATGATTACTTCATAAATCTGTGCTGGCTCTGTCCAATCAGACAATCATTTCTGACTGTTCTAGTAATTATATTGTTTTTAATGGATGCTAATATTTTTCTTCCTTCTGAGGTCAAGCTAACCTAATTTCTCTTTTTCTCTTTTCTTCCTTTCTTAAACAATGGGGTTACTTTTTGCAGCCTTCCAATTTGCAAGTACCGTTGCAGAAAGAGTACAGTTTTTGAAAGATGATGACAAATGCAGCCAGCTCTTTCAATGCTCTCAGGCAAATGTTGGTTTGAATGAAGAAAATGTAATCTGTGGGCGAGAAAAGCTGCTGGAAAGTTACCCAAAAACACAAGAGACAAGTTATGCACAGTCCTGACATTGAGTGAAAATGCCCAGACATGGCCTGAATTTCAATCACTTTTGGTTCACTTGGGAATTACCCTTCATTGAGGAGGAGGTCCATCTGAACTATATCCACTTGCTGTAGGCTGTGAGCCACAGAAATCACTGCTCATTTCTGAATGGCTTTGTTCCTACAGTAAACTGGCTTAGTCCGAATGGACAATGAGCAGGCCAGAGTGATTAATGTGCAGTAAAACTCTACCTTCATCTGCAGTAGCAGTTGGCCTGTTATTTCCCTAATGTTGAGCTAATTATTTTAAGTTTCTGCGGAATGTCCATCCACATATCAGATGATGATTAAACCTGGCTGTAGATCTCACAGTCTGTGTACGATATGTGAATTGGTGAGGGAGCTGTCTGCCCACTGACTTCAGGGTGGCATAGCCACTAACTCTCCATCATTGACGACAGCAGACATCTCCTGGAGAATGCGGTTTGTTTGAACTCTCCTCTCTTGGTCAATATGAGGTCCCAATCCCCTGTCCTCCAGGAACACGCAGTGGGTTGCAATCTAGACCCATTTCAGAACCTCTGCTATGTATTGACAGAGACAGACATTTTCCACATTTCTCTATTTACACCAGAAAAAAACAAGCATTTTGTTTTGATCTCTCCATTCTATTGCCCCTCCCTTGTCTGTGGTGCTCACTCAAGAATATGCAATCATCTTTCTGAGATACACTGAAATAGGAGACCAATGTGATTCAGCCACACTCACTGAATCACCAGATCACAGCAATGTTAGCGAGATGGCAGCTAATTATTATGCAGTGTTTACAAGAATTAAAATGGTGTTGTGTGTATTTTGGAAGCTGTGTGTTCAACCTGTGGGACATGATAATAACTGGGCCACCTGCATCCCTCCACTGATGAATGATAGAGCTCATGTTGGGATGTCAGCGGGAAACCACCTTGAAGCTGTTCATTTTATTTAATTGCTCTCTCTCCCTCTCATGTCTCTTTCACTTTCTGTCTTTTCCCCTTTCTTTCTGTTACTCTTTTGCTCCTTTCTTTTCTCTTCTTTATTTCTCTATTTGTATCTGTTTCTCTTTCTCTCCATCATTGCCTCTGAACATACACGCTGTGCACATAGACAGAATGTGATCAGTCTCATTCTCCAATCATGTGTCTGGCTCCTAAAAGATCCCCGACATTGCTGGGTGCAGTGACAAAGTGTGTGCACAAGGGGAGGTCAAATAACCATTAAACAATACCCCAGGCTTTGCACACAGCTTGCTCACCATGCCAGTGTCCCTTCACAGTGGAAATACAAACCGAAAGAACTGTGAATGCTGTAAATCAGAAACAAAAACAAATTGCTGGAAAAGCTCAGCAGGTCTGGAAGCATCTGTGGAGAGAAATCCAAGTTAATGTTTCGGGTTGAGTCACTCGACCCGAAATGTTAACTCTTAATTCTCTCTACAGATGCTGCCAGATCTGCAGAGGTTTTCCAGCAAGTTCTATTATTGTTCCTTCATTGTGGACCTGGAAACAGCATGTCTCACTGAAGGAAATCTAAAGAAAAGTAGCTTTAAAAAAATGGCTGGGAAATGCCAGGATCTGCTAGGCTTAAGGAAATTTTGTTGCTGTAGTGATGGTATCATACAGGATGAAAGGTTGTTATACTGTC